ACATTTTTAACTGACCAAAAAGCTTATTGACTGAAACTAAACAAATGCTCTTGAAATAGCCCTAATTAATAAATCAGGTTGTTTTCTCCACTGAGAATCTTTGATCTAGCAAAACCTAGGAGAGTTTTTGTTGATTCACTATTTCCTCTCTACTATCCTAAATCCTTCCCCAAATTCTACACAGAATTATACACCCCTTAGGGAAAAAACATCCCTGCTTCTGCTCACAAAAGCCTGTACTGGATCAAAGAACTACCCATCATTGAAGAGATTTAATTGTATATAATACATGATGTAGTGGCACTTTGGATTCAAAGGGAAGAAGGGGCTTCAGAACAGGCAGAATGCCTATGTAGCACCTATCTGTAACCCCTCAAACCCGTGTTTTTCATTCCGCTGGCTGGGGAATTCTGGGAGTTGAAGTCCACACATCTCAAAGTTGCCAAGTTTGAAAAACAGTGCCTTAAAGCAAGTGCATCTTTTCCTGAGATTGTGCTGCAGCTGCAGAAGCCTGTCATGAGATTTTGGGAAAAGACTCAGCTGCTTTAAGGAACTGTGGACAGGTGCTACACAATGCCCTCTTCCTCCTTCAGTTCCGAACTGCTACACAGTCCTACGGCATAGTATGAGGGAATCAAAAGTACAACCTCCAAGACTATTACACAAACAATCTAAACTTCAGACACAAACATACATTTTATATTTATAAATCTGGGACTGTACCCTGCAAATGCTGAACCAGTATTCCCATGCACAGCAGTTAGCACAGCAATGTGGCAAGACTGTTTTCAGGCCAAAGTGAAGGACCTCTCCTGGCAGTTCCCTTGGATAACCCTTAAGAAACATTAACCTAAAATTAATCCAAGCTATCAATTTGTTCTGTAACAACGGCAACAAAATGCAACCAAATTGCTTCCTGAAACTGCAGAGTGAGAAATTGCCTTTCAAGAGAGCCAACTTTTCTGTCCCACTCTAATCTTTCCTCTAGAATGCTCAGTGTTTCTGCCAAGCTGCAATCTCAGCTTTAGATCCACAGCAGTCAAGAGCAAATATTATTTTTAACATGGAACTGTTTGACATACAAATAATACCCCTGGATATCAGCAGTTTGAAGTATTCTGTGGGGGCGAAGAGAGGCTTGTGGACAAATTGCCCACTATCAAGTAGCTCACAGGGCCTGTCACTGAGTCAATCACTCTCTCTCTGCCCTGTCAGCTGACTGGCTGGAGTTCTCAGAACTCCCTTAACCATGTCACTTAAAGGCCCTCCCCAGCTGCACTTCTCCACAATGTCCACTTCCTCCTTGGCCCCATGACATTGCCCTTATGTCACTCTAGCTCATGAACAAAGCAATCTTAAGTTGTCCCTAGCTGAACTATCTAAACAGAGGATTCCTCCCTCATTTCAACATCATCCAATAGTAGCCTCAAGGTGTATAACATTGGTTAGACTTTGTTATCCATTTTCTTAGAGGAGAAATCAGGTGAGCAATCATAGGAGTTAACAGAGGAGTACTGTAGGAGTGTCTAACTAACCAGCCTCCACTGCAGCCTTTTTAATCTCCATCAGCACAATGGCTTCTAGACTCTTTTCACTCTCCTGCCTCCCACTTCCAATACCAACTTCTCTCAAAACTTTCCATAAGGAGGGCTCTCCTCCACTATTGTATTTGGGGAAGACGAGGGATATGTTTGTGCTAGCCCACCTTAACAGTATTTTGAAATCTATTTCTGCTATAACATATAAAAGCCCCTCACTGTGGTTTTCAGAAAATAATGAAGGACACTGAACTGGCTGCCGTTGCTTATTCATTCATTCCCCTGTATTTGTCAGATTCAATTATTGCTGCCCCCTGCAAGTAAGAGAGTGGTTACCCAACAGTTGTTCCATTTCAGTTCTATCACTCCCAAGGCACAATCATGGCAGGATTTGCCTCCCTCCTCTGGGTTCTATTTCTGTCACAGGGTTGTTATTATGGGAGTAAAATTAGGGGAGACTCCCACCCCAATTCTGATGTCTTGAGAGAAAAAGGTGGGATACTCACAAAGTAAATCTAAACAATGTTGGGCCATAACTCTTTGAATTTGTGGACAGCACTAAGATTCTACAATTGTTTTCTACAATAGTACAGGTAGTCCTCATTTAGCAACCACATTTGGAACCTGCAAATTGGTCGTTCGGTGAAATGGTCACTAAGTAAAACCACAACTGTGCTTATGATCTTATTTCAACTTTTCTTTGCTTTACAGACCTGCAAAGATTATAAATGTGAGGATTGGTCACAAAGTTACTTTTTCATCACCATCATAACTGCGAACAGTCACAAAATGAGGATTACCTGTACTCTTAAGTGTTAATTGTAAGCAACAATTAACTGTCAGACTAATTTAATGCATGTCAGCAGCTAATGACTGAAAGGGAGAGTTCCACACTTTTCTTACCAAATCTCCTTAGAGTTAAAAAGAGAAATCTTTAGTTGCACAAGTGCTACTAGATTTGATTCCAGCAAACCCTAATTCATCTTGCAGTTTTTGTTTGCCTGGATATTTGTTTTCTTATTCTTATTTTTCTCATCCTCAGTTTTTCATAGCCTCTTATGCAGATATCCCACCCCCCATGAAACGTAAAACAGGTAGATATGAGGAGAAAGGTACCACTTTTAATAAGTTAAACTACGTCTCCTCCTATCCCAACTTTAAAGAAAGAAAACATGGGTAGGATTCATGTAGTGTCTGACAGAACGTTAAAACTCAAGGATGCAGATGAAACCTTAGCAAGAGCTAAAAAGTCATTCACCACTATTTCATCTCACACTGGATACATCTGATGAGGTGACTGAGCTTAACAGAAGCTATGTACAAGAGATAGGTTACTCTTTAAAGGCCCACAAGAATATTCTTACTGTTATGAAAATTTGATATTCCTGTACTTTTTTCTTTGTTAATTTTGCTACTTTTATGTTACTGTAGCTTTAAGAAGAAAAGCCAGACTCAGGTGCTTTGACCTTCTCTTTCAGATGAAACTACTGGTCATGAGTGCCTAGCCTACACTCCTGGGCCAGGAAGAAGGCAGAAAAGCTTCTCATCCATCTCCTTTTGTACATCTCTATAAAGACTGTCTTTAAATGTCCAAGTGCCGACATTGGCAATACATACTAATAATTGTGGACATTTTATTTATTTATTTATTTATTTATCACATTTATATAGCTGCCCATCTCACACAAAGCGACTCTCACATGTTCTCAAAATGGGTAAAAGTACATCCCACAGCCAAAGCAGACACCAAGGTGCAAGAATGCTTGCTACAGGGTCCAGATCAGCCTTGCAACAACCTCAAGCCCGGGAACTGGAACTGCATTAAAGTCTTTAAGGGAAAAGACACCCTCCAGCGAAGATGGAAAGAACTCCTACAGATTCTACTAGCTACCAACACAGCAATTCATTGCCAGGACTACTGTACCCCACTTGGCACTGTAAGAAAGCACATCTCACCAACTGATCAACTTCAATGCAAAAGGTCTCTACCTCCATATTTTCTTTCTTCTTGTTCCTCTACCCTTGAATTTCCCTGAGTTTCCAATGCATCCTCAGCAATACTGGATCTTTCCTCCACACTGAGGAGATGAAGCATTTCAGATGTAGTTCAATTAAGACTGACCTTTAAGTGCCCCTATCTCAAAGTATTGAGAATCATTGAATCGCCTGTCCCTGATTACAGTTAATAGTTCAACCTCTTGATCACTAAGTCTCATTAGGATGGTCCCTCTATCAAAATATTTCCTCTTTGTTTGTACTGTCCTATTGATTTAAAGCTTACCTATGTACAAGAAATGTATAAAAATCTGTATTAGCATGCTGTAAGGAAAAAGGGACAAGACCCTGTTTGGTGTACTGGTGAGTTCTAGTCCTCCCTTAGGCACGAAGCCAGCCAGGTGACCTTGGGCCAGTAACTCTTCCTCGGCCCTAGGAAGGAGGCAGTGACAAACCACTCTGAAATCTTGCCAAGAAAACTGCAGGGACTTGTCCAGGTTGTCACCAGGAGTCAAGACTGACTCAAAGGCATACACATACACAAGGGAAAGGGGTATATCAGGGTAAAGAGAGAGATGCCTGTCCCAATTTCAGATTTTAAAATAAAGCATTATTCCCTTTTGCCCTACCTGCAAGTGCTGCAAATTTCCACTACATTTATTTGGGAGAAACTGCCATGGACCTTGGTGGGATTTTGTTCTCAGTACAGGACAGAAATTGCTGTAATTCTGAACAACACTAACTGAGGGGGGACCTTCAAGCCTGAGCTGGTTTAATACTGCTGAGTTTAATGGGCTTAATCCCAACTGTGTTTAGAGGACTGCGGTCTTATTCTGAAATTCTGCTGATCTGGGGACTTACTGCTCAGCAAACAAAGACAAGAGCCCAGTCTTCTGGTCTGTAGAAGGACTGTACATGTATTCGAAATCGTAAATGCACTTACACACGAGTAAGTACCATACAATCCAACGGCCTTATTTGTAAGTAAAATAACTTAAAATAGCACTAAAAGGCTGCAATCCTACTCAGGTTGATCTTCCTGATTTTCCAACTCCGAGTGGTATTCAAGGTTGTGATGCAAGGTAGGCCTTCTCGAGATTAAGGCTGCAATGGTAAAATCACTTGCTTAGGGTTAGGAGTGAACCTCGCACAACTCGTGGGCTTTCTTCAAACGAGCTGTACATACGACCGCGCTGCACGGCCTAGCTTCTTTCCCACCACTGGCATGAAGTCCCGTCCTAATTTTAGCTATTCCGGCCCTCCAGCTCAAAGCCGCAAGAAAAAAAGGGAGCCGCTCCCACCCAAAAGGACCCCCCTCTCTCCCAACCCCCATCACTCACGCTCTCCGGCCCAGACGTTCTCCTGAGCACGCAGGCGCAAAACAGCCTTCCGAGGGAAGGGGGAAAGGGCGCACATGCGTAGAAGGCGAGACTCTTTCGCCGGCGCCGGGCGAAAGGCCACGCCTCTTCGCTCTCCTCTGCCTCGCTCGCTCGCTCCCTCCTTCTTGTTCTTTTAGCCTAGAAGAAGCTGGAGCGGAGAGGCGCGAGCCAATCAGGCGGGGAAAAAGGAGTCTTCGTTTAGGAAAGGGGAGCGTAGCTAGGTCCGAGTGCGCTGGAGGAGCGAAGGAGAGCAGAGGCTGAGAGGCAAAGAGGAGCGGCTCTATCTTGGACGCGGGGTAAGCCGCCTGGTTGTTGCTCCTAGTTTCATTGCAATGCCGCTTTCCTCCCCCCGCCCCCCACCCGCAGCGGTAACAACTCCACAACCCTGTTTCCCAGGGAGCCCGGGAAGCTGGGTCACCCCGAGAAATCCTGTGGGAAATGGCTTTCCGTGTTTTCCTCGGCTCCCTCTCTGCGCCGGAGTCTGTTTACTCACGGGAGATCTGCGGCTGAGCGTTGTTGTTCCCTCCCTCTGCCTTGCGATAGAACAATGGAAGCGGCGGCGTTGCTGCTCGGGGTTCCTGGCGATCTGGCGCAGGCACACGCATGCAGAGGTGGCGGCGAGCGGGGAGCGCTGCCTCTCGCCCTCTACGTGTGCGCTGCCGTCCCTTTGCGGAGCCCTGCGGCAGGACCGAAGGCTGGCTTGCGTCCCGCCGCGTTCCTCCCGCTTGGTGGGACTCTCTCTCTCCCCCGCTGGGCCGGACGCAGTCTCCTTCCTCGCCTTCTCCCACCCTGGAAGGCCACCTGGGCGAGCTGCTGCATTTCGTTGCAGTTTTCTGGGGTTTCCTGCACAATGTCAGAGGGGGAAAGGAGGAGGACAGGATGGCTATTTGCCACCAGAAGGTCGTGGCCTTGGTTTTTTTCGGACCCGATGAGCCTGCATGGGTTGGCTGGTCCTGTGTGCGTAAATAAGGCACAGGTATCTAGATCAAGATGGCACGGAGAGAAAAGGAGCTGGGCGCTTCTTTGTTGCTGTTTCCACTCTCGCCGGTGTGATCATGATCATGTTGGTCCGCGATGCTGCAGTCACTCCCCCTCTTCCTTGTGCATACAATACAGCCAGGAAGGAAAGTAGAGGGAGAGCCTGTGAGGGAGCAAGTTGTCTCTTTCATGCGGCTTTTGTTTGGGAAAATTTTACTGCAGCTTTTGGAAAACACACCAGATGCTTCTGGGAAATAGGCCACAAAAGCGGCAGGCAGGGAGGAAATCAGATCAGTTCCAAGCCATCATCTTTACCTCCTGCTTTCCGCCACAATAGAAGCTTTCTCTTTTTTTCCATGGATATTCTCCTGGAGATACAGTACACGAATTGACTTGTTGCTGTCAGTCAAAACATCTTCCCCTAACAGTACTGGGAGAAAAACGCCCTCCATAGCTTGGTATCCATTGGCTGTGTTGAATTTCAGCTCCATAGTCTCCATTCAGTCTGACCTCTGGCTGTGAATTATAGGAGTTGAAGTCCAACACACCCTAGGAGACCAGGTTAGGGAAGGCTGGAGTAATGATATGCTGTGAAATATGACAGGCTACCAGAACAGGCATCTTCTCTAAATGTTTCTCCTCTGTTGTAACATTATAATACTTGGGCTGTTCTCCTCCTTGCAACATCTAAGTCTACAAACCATTCTAAGACTAAACGATAAGGGTTTGTAAAGATGTTTTAATATGGATCAGATCTGTTAAACTTTTTAAAAAATCTGCTTCTGTACTGGCTTGCTTTGCCCATTTTTTCTTTCTCCCTTTAATTCATTCATTATTTCCTCCTTCCGCTACCTTACATTTATCTACTTCCTTTGAAAAGTCCCTTCAGAGTACCTCTGCTTTTTTTCTGATTATATATTGGATTGAATGGAAAAGCAAGCTGGATGGAAGTGGGGAGGAAGCTGTAGAGAGAGTCCTCTGAGATTCCATTCCGGATGATTATTATTATTTTGCCATTGTTGTTTTCAAAAATCAGTGTTGCCATTTATTCTAGATTTTGGCTTAATCTTAGTCAGGTCTGCTAATGTGGGTGTGCCTGGATCTCAGTGTGTCAACATCTGATGATAAACCACTAAGACAGAGGTGACTTGCTTAGAATTGGTGGAGCAGACTGAAGGCTGAATAAAGAGGTCTATGTTGAGCCTAGCAGTCAGGTGGAACAGAACAGATGTTTTGTTCCAAAGCAAAATGCTTGGCAAGTAATACATGTTTTTTGATATTGGGAAAGACCTGGGCTATGTTACCTGCCTTTAGATGACGTTTTAACTAATGATTGGCTTCTAGATACACAAATGCTATATGAGCATTTTCGGAAATTGGTAAAAAATGGATATCCATTATTTGCCATTGCAAGTAAATGTATCCTCCCATTGCAAATGTAAACCTTGAAGGAAGGAACTGTTATTCTCATTAGAGAGGTGGAGCTAAGCTAGGAAATACTGACCTTCCCAAGGTTGCCCAAGTTGTTAATGGAGTTTAATGCTACTGCCCCAGAGATCTTTTCTTCTCATTGAAGCATTCAGGTCCCTGGTTAACTTTATCCAAATGTAAATTTCAACCATTGATGGTATGGCATATAAAGATTCCTTTGAGACCATCTTGGCTCCTGGTGGCCTTCTGGGCACATCTTTGCTGTTTTCTTGGCAGCAGTATGGAAATGACTTGCCATGGCCTTCTGGGATTTTTCCTTTGTCTTCCCAATCTAGCTTTCAGCCATGGAATTCCCTGGAGTCTCCCATCCTGTGCTAACCAGGGCTAAACCTGCCTGCCTTCTGAACTCATTGACAAGTGAGTCAAATGCTGCCACCTGCTGAGGAGTGCTGAAATGCAATTGTGCTGTAGGTAGAGAGTCAGAGAAAATGAGTTGGAGCAATAGCCTTTGGATCTGAATTTACTTTTTTCCCACTTGAGTCCTGCTTATTGTAATGCAGCCTGAGAATTGACATCCCTGAATAGCTTGTAGTTCTTCATCCATTACAACTTAGGTGAAGTGTAGTCAATCCTTATGTCTGTCAAATGGGGGTGGGAAGAGAGAGAGTTTTGACAATGTATGCTGCATCAGTTTCCATAACTGGCAGTTATTACTAAGAAAAAAGGAACTAGCTTGTTGGTAAAGTATAAGCACTGTGAAAGTGTGTAAGCGAAACTCTACTTCAAGGGATGGTTTATACCAAAAAATAGTATTAACTGAAAGTGCAAGATCAAGGCATATCACTATCCATATAACTTCATGTAATTAATATGGCAAGTACAAGGATTTACTGTTGGATGTTCTGTATTTCTTAAAATGTTAATTCATTTCTGATGTTAAGTGAGAAATGATTCCGTTCGTCTGGATGTCCGATAATTGAGAAATCAATTTGCTAGTAATTGCCATTATATATTCAAATGCAACTGTGCTCATTTTGTTTAAGAAAGGAAGTAATGTAAGCTTAATGCTTCTATTTATTTATCTCCAGTAATTGTCAAACGTGCAAACCTGGAACAATATAGTGCTACATAGCAGTAAAAATCACATTAATCAACAATGCAAAAATGTGAGAATTATTTATTACACTGATTAAAAGACTAGCAATTACCCAAAAAATGAAGATATGTAGGCTGTCCTGTCTACAGGCTTCCAGTCCCTGCCCTCCCAAAAATGGAGGATATTGGCAAGAGTTTTACTGCCAAAAAATTGCGTATATAAAAGTGTCTCATTTTAAAGTAAGATACTGGCTGGATTTTTTGTGTCATAACTTTATAACTTTTCTTAATAAATATTATCGATCAGAGTTGCTAGCTCCTTGTTCCTTGGATTAACTGTTTCCAGCATAGATTAAAGAAGGGAACTCTGACAAATGATAAGACAACAAAGAAGGGAATATTTCACAGTGGCCCAAAAAAGTCAGCTGGTATGAAGCAGGCAAATTCATTAGATATGCTATTATAAAAACGCTTTGTTGCCAATTCCTTCCAGTAATGCATACCTGATATTTGGAATTGTAGAGGAATACGCAGCTACGTTTTTAGTTATTTGAAGGTCATGCAGAGCAATGATACATATGTTGGTTTAAATACAAGTTCCAATGAGCTTGGTGTTTGTTCCCTAGTCCCTCTCTTTAGGATTTTGTACCATAAATAAGCCTCCTAAGAGATAGGAGGTTATCAAAGACATGGGCAAAATTTTAGTAAATTTGCTCTTTGAACCAAAGGTTTCCTCTTTCTTCTAAGGAACTGGAACAATACTATAAAATGGATATGCTATAAATCCAAAGTTGTAATTCATAGCTTTTTTTAAGGTAACAATCCCAAGGGGATATAAGTTTGAAAATTTAAGGCAGAGGATGACATAACAGCAAAGTCACATCTGATAACTTCCATACTAACAAGATTTGAGTCAGAAATTTAAAATAAGCTGCTTTATATATTATGGTGAGGTCAATTAATTGTTAGATATTCTTTAGAATACATAATGCCAGCTATAGGAACTATAGGTTAGAGATTTAATAATACATTTGAACTTTCTATGAATATTTACAGGAAAAGCTATATTATTTGATTGTTGTAAGAAAGAAACAGGTATAGCTAATCTATTCAGATTCAGAATTCTGATGTTATCCATATTGTTGATTCAATATGGCTTTTAATATTATGAAATAATTTTAAGATGTAATTTGGAAACACTAATCTGATTCCTATATTTCACTAAGGCATAATGTGCCTTGTTTGGTTTTGACTCAATGTGTTGTGTCAACCCAACCATTGTGATCTGTAAGCCATGTGATTTACAGCTTTAGCCTGTTATATGAACGTTGTCACTTGTGGGTTATTTGATAAAGCACAGTTAAACAATGGCTTAGTTTTATGTGTGAACTCTCTCACCATCAATGTATAATGTACTTTAACTGTACTGGGCTCACTCCTTGTCAGTATACTATGCATTTTAAGTCTCCTACCCTGGCCTCCTTTTAGGGAAATAGCAATGTGAAATAGCATTGATTTTTGCTTCTATACATTTAGATGTAAATGTATGTGTAATTTGCAATTAAACAATGAATTGCATATATGAAAAGATAGTAAGGATGTGGGGAAATGTGTCATCTGCTTCTTTCTGGGATCCTTCAGGGCACTGAGGTTAAATGGAACTCTATAGCCCAGCAGCTGTTCAACTTGCCGCCTGTGTCAGTGCCCCCATGCTGTTGGCTAAGTTCACACACTTGGCGGAGGCTGCCAGCTGCTAGGCTGCCTTCTCCCCTTGTGTGAGTGAATTTACAACCCTACCCATACCCCCACATGATGAGATCTCCAGCCTGGTACCCACTGTCTGAACAGCCAAGCTTACCTGTGGGGGGAAAGGCTGAGACAGGCTGTTTCAGCAGTGTTCCTGCCATGGGGTTGTATGTCTTTGTGAGGGGAGTTACTGGAAAGGTTCTCAGTAGGGTCTCCACAACCCCCCTTCCCTAATTTGGAATCATTCTGCCTTGTTGATAAGTGTTGCTTTGAGGGCTTGAATTAACCAACCTCATGTCTGACTCGTGTGTTCGTACTTGGAATACCCCACAACAGCTCACAC